CACACACACAAAGATAGATGGGAGAGACAAGATTGCACCACTGCACTCCAGCCGGGTGACACAGCAAGACTCTGTCTCAAAAAAAAAAAGTGTGTAGCACCTATGTCCCCCTTCCTCCTGCTCCAGTCATGTGAAGTGTTGGCTCCCGCTTTGCTTTCTGCCATAATTGTAAGCTTCCAGATGACTCCCTAGAAGCAGATGCCACTATGCTTCCTATACAGCCTGTGGAACCATGAGCCAATTAAAGCTCTTTTCTTTATAAATTACCCAGTCTCAGGTACTTCTTTATAGCAATGCGAGAACGTTTTCTTTATAAATTACCCAGTCTCAGGTATTTCTTCTTTTTTTTTTTGAGATGGAGTCTCACTCTGTCACCCAGGCTGGAGTGCAGTGGCCCAATCTCCGGTCACTACAAGCTCTGCCTCCCAGGTTCACACCATTCTCCTACGTCAGGCTCCTGAGTAGCTGCGACTACAGGCGCCCGCCATCACACCCAGCTAGTTTTTTGTATTTTTAGTAGAGACGGGGTTTCACCTTGTTAGCCAGGATGGTCTCGATCTCCTGACCTCGTGATCCGCCCACCTTGGCCTCCCAAAGTGCTGGGATTACAGGTGTGAGCCACCGCACCTGGCCCGGCCCAGGTACTTCTTTATAGCAATGTGAGAACGGACTAATACCGACAGCAAATTTAATTGATAAATGTGTGTAGTCTGACTGCTCCACTGACCAGGTGTTCTGTTCTCCCATCTGTCTTCCTTTCCTTGGGCCTGTCTATTCCCTGAGACACAATAATACTGAAATTAGGCCAGCCAATAACCCTACAATGGCCTCTAAATGTTCAAATGAAAGGAAGAGTCCCATATCTCCTAATTAAATCAAAATCTAGAAATAATTAAGCTTAGTGAGAAAAACATATTGAAACCAGAGAGAGGCTGAAAGCTAGTCCTCTTGTGCCAAATGGTTAGCCAAGTTGCGAATGTAGTGGAAAAGTTCTTGAAGGAAATTAAACATGTTACTCCAGTGAACATAGAAATGATAGGAAAGCAAAACAACCTTATTGCTGATCTGGAGAAAGTTTGAGTGGTCTGAATAGGAGATCAAACCAGCCACAATATCCCATAAGTCAAAGTCTAATCCACAGCAAGGCCCCAGTGCTCTTCAATTCTGTGAAGGATAAGAGAGAGAAAGCTGCAGAAGAGGCTGGGCGCGGTGGGTCATGCCTGTAATCCCAGCACTTTGGTAGGCTGAGGTGGGCAGATCACAAGGTCAGGAGATTGAGATCATCCTGGCCAACATGGTGAAAACCCGTCTCTACTAAAAATACAAAACAATTAGCTGGGTGTGGTGGTGCGCACCTGTAATCCCAGCTACTCGGGAGGCTGAGGTAGGAGAATCGCTTGAACCCGGGAGGCGGAGTTTGCAGTGAGCCAAGATCATGCCCCACTGCACTCCAGCCTGGCGACAGAGCAAGACTCCATCTCAAAACAAACAAACAAACAAACAAACAAACAAAAAAGAAAGCTGCAGAAGAAAAGTCTGAAGCTAAAATAGGTTGATTCATGAGGTTGAAGGAAAGATGTCATCTCCATAACATAAAATCACAGGGTGAAGCAGCAAGTGCTGGTAGAGAAAGTGTAGCAAGTGATCCAGAAGGTCTAGCTAAGATAATTAATGAAGGTGGCTACACTAAAAAACAGATTTTCAATGAAAATGAAACAGCCTTACTGGAAGAAGATGCCATCGAGGAAAGTTATAGTTAGAGAGGAGAAGTCAGTGCCTGTCTTCAAAGCTGCCAAAGACAGGCTGACTCTCTTCGTAGGAGATAATGCAACTGGTGACTTAAGTTGAAGCCAATGCTTATTTGCTATTTGCAAAATCCTAGAGCCCTTAAGAATTATTCTAATCACTTCTCTTTCCCCCACCCCATGAAAAAAAACAAAAAGAATTATGCTAAATCTGCCTTTGCTCTATAAATGGAACCACAAAACCTCATGACAGCACATGTGTTGACAGCATTGTTTACCAAATATCAAGCCCACTACTGAAACCTATACTCAGAAAGAAAGATTATTTTCAAAATATTACTGTTCACTAACAATGTACCTAGACATCCAAGAACTCTGATGCATACAAAGAGATTAATGTTGTTTTCATGCCTTCTAAAAGAATACTTATTCTGCAGCCAATCAAGGAGTAATTTTGATTTTCAAGTCTTATTATTAAAAGAAAAATATTTTTGAAGGCTGTAGCTACCATAGACAGTGATACCTCTGATGGATCTAGGGAAAGTAAATCAAAAATCTTGTGGAAATGATTAATAATTTTATATTTCATTAAGAATATTCATGATTCCTGGCCAGGCATGGTGGCTCACAGCTGTAATCCCAGTATTTAGGGAGCCAAGGCAGGCGGATCACTTGAGGTCGGGAGTTCGAGACCAGCCTGGCCAACATGGTAAAACCCCATCTCTACCAAAAAATAAAAATAAAAAATTAACTCCATGTGGTGGTGCACATCTACAGCCCCAGCTACTCGGGAGGCTGAAGGGAGAATCGCTTGAACCTGGGAGGGGAAGACTGCAGTGAGCCAAGATGGTGCCACTGAATTCCAGCCTGGGTGACAGACTGAGACCCTGTCTCAAAAGACAAAACAGAAAAACATTTATGATTCATGGGGGGAGATCAAAATATCAACATTAACAGGAGATTGGAAGAAGTTGATTCTATCCCTCATGGATGACTTTGAGGTGTGCAAGACTTCAGTAGAGAAAGTAACTACAGATGCGGTAGAAATAGCAAGAGAACTAGAATTAGATGTCACTGAATTGCTGCAATATCATGATAAAACTTGAATAGATGAGGAGTTACTTCTTATGGATGAGCAAAGAAAGTGGTTTCTTGGCCAGGTGCGGTGGCTCACGCCTGTAATCCCAGCACTTTGGGAGGCCGAGGCAGGTGGATCATGAGGTCAGGAGATTGAGACCATCCTGGCTAACACAGTGCAACCCTGTCTCTACTAAAAATACAAAAAATTAGCCAGGCGTGGTGGCGGGTGCTTGTAGTCCCAGCTACCTGGGAGGCTGAGGCAGGAGAATGGCGTGAACCCAGGAGGCGGAGCTTGCAGTGAGCCGAGATCGAATCACTGCACTCCAGCCTGGGCGACACAGTGAGACTCCCTTTCAAAAAAAAAAGAAAGCTGTTTCTTAAGGCTGGGCGGGGTGGCTCACGCCTGTAATCTCAACACTGTGGGAGGCCGAGGCGGGTGGATCACAAGGTCAAGAGATCAGCACCATCCTGGCCAACATGGTGAAACCCTGTCTCTACTAAAAATACAAAAGTTAGCTGGGCGTGATGGTGCATGCCTGTAGTCTCAGCTACTTGGGAGGATGAGGCAGGAGAATCGCTTGAACCTGGGAGGCAGAGGTTGCAGTGAGCTGAGATCTCGGCCACTGCACTCTAGCCTGGCAACAGAGTGAGACTCGTCTCAAAAAAAAAGAGAAAGAAATAAAGTGGTTTCTTGAGATGGAATCTACTCCTGGTGAAGATGCTGTGACCATGGTTGAAATAACAACAAAAGATTTAGAATATTCTGTAAGCTTAGTTGATAAAGCCATAACAGGGTTTGAGAGGACTGAATCCAATTTTGAAAGAAGTTCTGTTGTAGGTAAAATACTACCAAACAGCATAGAAATCTTTCCTTTCATGAAAGGAATGGTCAGTTGGTGAGGCAGACTTCATTGTTGCCTTATTTGTTTTTTGTTTTTGTCTTGTTTTGTTTGAGATGGAGTCTTGCTCTGTCGTCCAGGCTGGAGTGCTGAGGCATAATCTGGGCTCGCTGCAGCCTCTGCCTCCTGGGTTCAAGCAATTCTCCTGCCTCAGCCTCCCAAGTAGCTGGGATTACAGGCACCTGCCACCATGCCTGACTAATTTCTGTATTTTTAGTAAAGAGGGGTTTCACCATGTTGGACAGGCTGGTCTCTAACTCCTGACCTCAAATGATCAGCCTTCCTGGGCCTCCCGAAGTGCTGAGATTACAGGTGTGAGCCATCACACCCAGACCATTGTTGCCTTACTTGAAGAAATTGCCACAGTCAACCCAACCTTCAGTATCCAGCACCCTGGTCAGCAGCCACCAACACTGAGACAAGACCCTCAACAGGCAAAAACATTATGAATTGCTAAAGGTTCAGATAGATTATTATTAGTATTTTTTAGCCATAAAGTATTTTAAAATTAAGGCACATATGTTGGTTTTCGAGACACAATATTATTGCATACTTAATAAACTATAGTGTAGTATAAACATACCTTTTATGTGCACTGGGAAACCAAAAAATCATGTGACTTGCTTTATTGCAATATTCGCTTTGTTGTGGTGATCTGGAACTAAACCTGTATATCTGAAGTTTGCCTGTTTATATATGTGCATACACACACACATGCACACAAGCACACACACATCCACTCCCAATCTTATTGGTTCTGTTTCTAATGCACTTAGGAGAACCCTAAGTAATACAATCTCTCACCTACAAAAAGTGGAGTTGGTGTAATGGAAAGTGTATGAATGGACAGTTAGAACTGAGTATTGACTCTTTCTCTACTATTATCTTTGAGGGAATTACTCTACCTCTTAAAACTTTAAAGTTCTCATCAGCAAAACGTTGTGGACCTACCCGCTTTGCAGAGATGATGTGAGAATTAAGTGAGATAATACATGTAATGCATCTGGGGCACAGTAGATCCTAAATAATCCTCTTCCATTGTATGACATCCATTGCAAATATGAGTTATTTATTTTCTCAGGTTTTCAACAGAAACCTAGAAGGAGGCCACATAACCAGAAGATCTGTTGCTACAACTGAATGCAAGATTGCACATGCTAGGGAACTCTTATCAATCAATTTCAGAAGATGCATACATCAAATGATCTCTAGGTTTATAATAATTGTTTTGAATGTGGTTGCAGATTTGAGTGAGATGGTATGGTAACAGACTCACAGGGATGCCATATCGGGTCCTGTAGAGAGTCCTCATTGCGACGCTCGTTCCACACAGACAGCATTCGTTCATATCAGCTGCAACTTGACACCCAAGGCATGGGAAACAAAACGTGCCACAGAGACCTAGACACATGAAACCAGGGGTACACGTTACTCCACTCTGCCCCTGCCACAGCTGAAAGTTTAGCTTGCTTTCACAAATGGCAGTCCAAGTCACGAGGCCTTGGCCACGTAGCCTGCTGCTAAGCCCATTTTCAATGTTTCTGTTTAGCTTTGCATCAGTTTCTCCCTCCACACGCAAATCATTTCAGGAATGACCACGCCTTTGTAAAGTATATCATTCTTGTCATAGCTCTGCCTTCATTCATTTGTTCATTGATGCAGTAAAACGTATTCATTTTCCAGACATTATCCTCAGTACTGACAGTGCCCCTGGCTCAAGTCTAGTAGTGAAGGCAGATCATAGGGAAAGTTCTCCAACAGAAACGTGTTTAAAATGCCAACAGGTCACCCAGAAAAATGGGGCCTACAAGGTCCTGAGTAGGAAATGCTGTTTGAGCTGACTACTGAAGGATGATGAGATGTTTTAAAGGTGGACAAAAAGGAAAAGAGCCTCTTCGAGGTAATCTGGCATATCCTGGCAAAGGCTAGTGTTCATTCAATACGGCTGGAGCCCTGGGATGGGATGAGGATTTAGCTGTGGGTTGAGGCAGGTTGGGGAGCAGATGATGAAAAACTCTGAGTGTTAAGAGTGCGTCATGAGAGCTATGAGGAACCACTGAAACATTTTAAGAGGGGAGAATAATTTCATCAGATCTACATTTAAGAAAATGTGCTACTAAGCAATTAAGCTTTGATTGGAACTTGTGTATTCATTTAATTGGGTAATAATAATACTAGCGGTAAGAGGGTTAACATGTTCATCTTTAGAGAGTTTCACCAATGTGATCTAATTCTTACTTTGATTTGCAGATGTTGAACTGGTGTCCTGAGAAGCTTAAGTCATCACTCCAGACAATGAGAGTGAAAAAACTAACCCAATTGTTTTATTCCCTAGGTAATTTTCCCTTGCTATGTTACTGAGTGTGTAATTCTTTTTTTAATTTTTATTTTATTTATTTATGATGGAGTCTTGCTCTATTGCCAGGCTGGAGTGCAACGGCACTCTCGGGTTCAAGCAATTCTTCTGCCTCAGCCTCCTGAGTAGCTGGGACTACAGGCACCCGCCGCCACACCTGGTTAATTTTTGTATTTTTTAGTAGAGATGGGGTTTCACCATATTGGCCAGGCTGGTCTTGAACTCCTGACCTTGTGATCTGCCCGCCTTGGCCTCCAAAAGTGCTGGGATTACAGGTGTGACCCACCACACCCAGCCTGAGTGTAATTCTTAACACATTCAAAGTTCAATTTCAGGCCAGGCATGGTGGCTTATGCCTGTAATCCTAGCAATTTGGGAGGCCGAGGCGGGTGGATCACTTGATGTCAGGAGTTTGAGACCAGCCTGGCCAGCATGGTGAAACCTCGTCTCTACTAAAATTACAAAAATTAGCTGAGTGTGGTGGTGCACGCCTGTAACCCCGGCTACTCGGAGGCCAAGGTAGGAGAATCACTTGAACTGGGGAGGTAGACATTGCAGTGAGCTGAGATCGCACCACTACATTCTAGCCTCGGTGACAAAGTGAGACTCTGTCTCAAAAAAACAAAAAGAAAAAACAAGGTTCAATTCAACTCTCATTCAAAGTCAATTTCAACTGTCAAGTTAAAGGATAATGTATTTTATTTTCTTGTCTTAGAGTACTATGTGGACCAAGGCAAGCAAATAGACTTCAGAGCAAGTTTTCTGTAGGTGGGTGTGTTTGTTTCTTGGTCATTATTGAGAACTAAGCACCTTGCTCCTCTCTGCAACGCCCATCTCACCCCAAACTTCCTTTCCTGCAAGTTCATTTAGAGAGATCTCGAAGTAAGAGATCTTTTAGAGAGATCTTATAAAAAGAAAACAGGCTGGGCGCGGTGGCTCAGGCTTGTAATCCCAGCACTTTGGGAGGCAGAGGCTGGCGGATCACCTGAGCAGGAGTTCAAGACCAGCCGGGCCAATATGTTGAAACTCTGTGTCTACTAAAAATACAAAAATTAGCGGGGCATGGTGGCAGGCGCCTGTCATCCCAGCTACTCAGGAGGCTGAGGCAGGAGAATCTCTTGAACCCGGGAGGCAGAGGTTGCAGTGAGCGGAGATTGTGCCATTGCACTCCAGCCTGGGGGACAAGAGTGAGACTTCGTCTCAAAAAAAAGAAAGAAAGAAAGAAAAAGAAAACAAAGCAGTCAGAGATTTTTTTTTTCCTCAGTGACAAGCTAATTGCCACAGAATTCTTTATTCTCAGGTGTGTAAAAAACCTAAATATATGAATGAAAATAGTTCTTCTCTGAACGCATATGGAAACCATGAATGAAAACTATCCCCTGGGTACTGGACACAACGTAACTATAAAATAATGAGGTTAATTTATATGTTGCAAGAATAGTCTTTCTAAAAAATCAAATTCAACTTGGAATTTTTAAATTAATGTAAGGTCTATTTAGTCAGGCCAGACCTGCTCGTTGTTAGAATCAATCAGCTCTTTCGCTATTATCTTAACCCAGAACTTATTTTAGGAATAAGACTGTTCTTTGAAGGATTGGAGAAAAATTAACTTATCGCTATGGAGGCTTTTTTTTTTTTTTTTTTTTTTTTTTTGCTAAACATACCATTGCCTGACATGCAGAGTGCCTGTAGTAAGTTAGAAACTTTTCCTACACGATAAGGGAGGAATAGGGGAAGGGTTTAGTTATTGGTAATTCACCTCGATATCAATTAAGGGGCTTCTTTTCCCACACTTACAGACTCCGCAGTCGCTGAAGCAGTCACACATGCTTGTCTGCCAGTTGGAGTTCTGGGGTGCCAGACCGACTCCAGGTTGGGTCACAACGACCACCGGCGCCTGAGATTGCATTTTCAGTGCTGGGTCTTAAAAGCAGTGGACTGAAAAGTCAAAGAGTGGTGTTAGAGATCTCGAGGTTGCTCTTGAAAGCCCACGTTAGGGCAGGATGCTGAGGCAGTGTAGAGGAAGTTGCTTTATTTGAAGAACAGAATTTCTGTCTCCACCCCTCACAAGATAGAGGCCGTGCAGGTGGGAGGAAGGAATTCACCGAACTGGGCCGGGCGCGGTGACTCATGTCTGTAATCCCGGCCAAGGTGGACGGATCATTTGAGGTCAGGAATTCGAGACCAGCCTGACCAGTATGGCGAAACCCTGTCTCTACTAAAAATGCAAAAAATTAGCCAGGCTTGGTGGCGTGTGCCTGTAATTCCAGCTACTCGGGAGGCTGGGGCAGGAGAATCGCTTGAACCGGGAAGCTGGAGCTTGCGTTAAGCCGAGGTCATACTTCTGCACTCCAGCCTCGGCGACAGAGTGAGATTCCATCTCAACAAACCCCCCCAAAACAAAAACCACAGAATTCTCCGAACTGGGAAGGTGAACAGTTGCTTCTCGTGGGGTAAGGGAGCGGAACAGTGTTGCTCATGTACTGTTTTTAGACAGGTACCTGGTATCCACACAGGTAGCGAAACAAATGAGCAACCTGTGATCGTGGCCGAAAGTAGTGAATTATGGAAAATAACATTATCTAAAACGGCATCATCCTAAACTTTTGTGTATATCCCCCCACTTCTTGCTCCTAATTTATTATTTTTTTTGGACTGATTTCCTATGAGCAACCATTTCCAGTCTTCCTACTTCCTGACTTGTCCTTCACTTCATATTTACTGGGAGCCTGCAATCCTGTGTCAGCGCTGGCCTGACGGACGCTGCTGTGTGGTACGGGCAGTTTATTTAAGAAGTACATTTGGTAAGGTTACTCCTCATTTCTCTACATCATGAGAGGCAGTGTAGGGTCATGGAACATGAATTAGATTAGGAGCGAGAGAGTGTTTGCCCAAGTCTTAGTTTCTGAAACTGTGATCTTTGACTCATCATTTAACTAGTCATTTAAATGTCCACTTATTAATCTGTAAAATGAGGTTTCTGACCTACCCACCTTACAGGCTCATTCTAAAGAATTTGTCTTTAAATAAAAATACCATGAACTGTATTCAGAATAGCTGAAGCTTATTTTAAATGTATTAGATGTGCCCTTCCATATACATTAAAGTGGTTATGGCGTCTGCTTGATTTTTTTTTTAAATGTACCATAATAGCCGTTCACTGCTTTTTTACACTAGAAGAGTGAGGCGGACCCATCCTTGGATCCCACAGCAAACAAGATTTTCTGCAAAAGAAGGTTCCAGTAAGTGAACAAAAAACCGGAGGGGTCGGCTGAGCCGATCATTCAGGGCGTGCATGATCCGCGGGTGTGTGTGTGGCGGCGGCGGAGTCCCCGTCTAAGGGCAGAGCCGTCGGGTGATGGACTAGGCGAACGTGTGTCTGGCGGCCGCTGTCTTCCGGCCTCTTCCAGGCAGGAGGATCGGGGAGGCGGAGAGCCCCCCTGGCTCCTCCCCAGTTGCAGGGACAGGTCTGAAGCAGGGGCTTCAGGAGGCGGGGAGTGGGTGGGTGGGCTTCTTACCTTCTCCGCCCGCTCTGCACTCGAGAAGGGGACTGTGAGCGGCAGCTGCGCTTGGGGCTCTTCGATCACCAGCCCCCGCACTACGTCTCCCGCCAGAGCCGCTCTGGGACCCCTGGGTCTCCTCTGCTGGGACCAGACCTGCCTGCCGGTGAATTCTTAGAGCAGCCCGCGCAGAATCCATCCCAAGGAGACCGCCCATTGTTGCTGGCGCAATCAGGGAACGGCGCCTGCGGATGGCTGCCCTCGGGGGACCACTCACCCGGGCGGCGCGCCGCTGGGGACTCGGCGTGAACCGGGCAGCGGGCGCGCGGTCTCGGAGCCCAGCCCCACCTGCAGGCACCAGGAGCCGCAGCGCTGGGCAGGGCTGGCGCCGCTGCCTCCCGGGCACCTGCCACTCTGTCGCTCCGGGCGCCCAGGCTCACCGGGCGTTTGTTTCTAAATTATAGAAAGTTTTTATCAGATGGTATGGGCTGAGCAACGCTGGGATCGGAAAGTAAGACAAGAAACTATCACCCACCCCCTCCCCCGCCCGCTGATTTGAATGCTTATTAGATGGACCCTGGATTCTAGTCCTGCTGTACATGACCACAATGTAAGAGGAAGCAATCACAGCCCTCTAGACACACTCATGCCGCCAATCTCATGAAATAAAAGGTAAGGACCTTGCAATGATTCCGTTTTTGTCACTCACCCCTTTTACAGTAATTAGCTTGGCTTTGGGAAAAGTAAGTCCCAAATCCCCAACACTGAGGGTAAGCTCCACAAAGGCAGGGAATTTTGTGGGCCAAGTTCACCGAGGTTTCTCAAAATCTTAGCTCGGGACCTGGTACATAGGAGGAGCTCACTAGCGGCCCCGTCACCACGCTCTCTGCTTCTCGGCTGGCTGAGGCCATGCGTGATGCAGGCTCCAGATGGTGCACAGCAAACAAGGACGAGAGCCCAGCCCTGAAAACGCAAACAAGGCTAATGTTTCACCTGACTCTTCAGACCTCTACAGATGGGGCCCAGATCTTCCCTAAATCCCAACTCCAGTACTAACATGGTCGAAACCATATTTTTGGGTGATGGCTTCCCACATTTGGAATCTTGGGGGAAGCAGCATTACAGGAAATGCTAGAGAATATGTATTCTAATTTCTTATGCATTTCATCTTAATTGTCAAATACCAGAAAAAATATGAAATGCTAATTATCAGTAATGTCAAGTGGTTATCCCTAGGTGATTGGCTGATAGACTTTTTTTTGTTGTTTTGTGATAAAGTCTCTCTATTGCCCAGGCAGGAGTGCAATGGCACGATCATAATTCACTGCAGCCTGGAACTCCTGGGCTCAAGTGATCCCCCCACCTCAGCCTCCTGAGTAGCTGAGATTACAGGCGTACACCACCATGCCTGGCTAATTTGTTTTCCTTTTCTGTAGAGATGGGGGTCTCACTATGTTGCCCAGGCTGACCTTGAGCTCCTGGCCTCAAGTGATCTTCCTGCCTTGGCCTCCCAAAACACTGAATTACAGGTGTAAGCCACCACCCATGGTCGATAATTTTTTTTATACTTAGCATTTATTTCTTTTACAAGCAAAACAAGAAATATCCTTTTCAGAAACGAAAAGCAAATCCACTGACTAGAAAAAAAAAAATTTAAGGGGGCATACCAAGCCAGGTACGGTGGCTCATGCCTGTAATCCTAGCACTTTGGGAGGCCGAGGCGGGTGGATCCTGGGTGACAGAGCGAGTCTCTGTCTCCAAAAACAAAAACAAAAAACAAAAAACAAAGGAGGGGCATGTCATACAAATGATACTATAGCTGTTTGTATTTTTTTTTTCCCTCTTGGCCCCTAGCCAACGCTTGGCACGGAACTGGTATTCAATAAATAAAGATGATCCTACAACTCTTTCAGAGGAAAAACATGTTCATTTTACACCCTTATTTTTTCAAGAAGGCTATATTGTGATTTTTAATACAATAACAGCAATCTGAAGATTTCAGAATAAAAACCACCCTGCAATGATCTAATTGTTTCTCCTTTACCTGACTGTCTTTACTTAGTGTACGGCATATGTGTTTGTGTATTCAATGTGGCTAATGTTAGACTTCATAGCAGTTTGAGTCCTGAACATTTTCTGAGTGCCTTTGAAATCCACTCAGTGGCCATCTCTATATTCTGTACCAAGCAGCTGTATCGGCCTGGCGCGGTGGCTCACATCTGTAATCCCAGCAATTTGGGAGGCTGAGGTCGGGAGTTCAAGACCAACCTGAACAACGTGGAGAAACCCTGTCTCTACTAAAAATACAAAATTAGCTGGGCGTGGTGGTGCATGCCTGTAATCCCAGCTACTTGGGAGGCTGAGGCAGGAGAATAGCTTGAACCTGGGAGGTGGAGGTTGCGGTAAGCCAAGATCACGCCATTGCATTCCAGCCTGGGCGACAGAGCGAGACTCCGTCTCAAAAAAAAAAATAAAAAAAAAAAAAAAAAAAAAATATATATATATATATCAACTGTATCTCAAATATCCATTTGCTAACTGCCAGTTAGTTTGTGTGAACATTTACTTCCTCCATGTAGTAGCCTCAACAGTCTTTAGCCCAACAGTCAACATTGTATGTTTCTGTTTCCTTCACTACTTTTGTACTTTTGACTTCCTCTTTTGAATGTGGGAGATTGCAGGGACCCAGGTGCTTCTGTGAATATTAGCACTAGGAACTGGTGCAGAATGGGGGGCCCCAGGAGTTTTCTGATGCTATTATAAGTTCCTCTCTAGTGCAGATTACCTATATTGGTGGAGAAGTCTACTCGGCTTATCCCTGCATAGAAGAGTAGTCCTAAAGGGAATTGCTCTCCAGGACTTCCATCTGTCACTTCCAGCTTATTCTAAAAAGGGTCTAATAACTTCTCCTGTGAGATACCTTATTCAAAAAAATACCTTCCTGATAGTTATAAAACTGAGATGAGAAAGCAAACACACTCATTTGTATGTGCCTCTGTGATCATTTAAAAATTCAAGGTATCTTTTAAGTTACAACAAAGGTAAAACAGAAACAAATGTAAAATTGTTGCTTGTTCCAAACAACCACAATTCTCTTTGCTTTAGCCATGACATCTTTACCCTTAGCCATTCAAGGTAAAAGGTCAACAGTAAGTGGAGAGAAAATTTCCTTGAAAATCTAGAATTTCTAGGACCTTAGGTACCAGCTTGTCTCCTTAGTTCAGTGGTCCTCAAAGGTTACTATTAGTAAAACCACTTGGACAGCTCTTTAACCTGTAGATTCCCAGACACTGCTCAGAGATTGTAACTTAGATAGAATGAGCTAGGGTTGAGGAATCTGTACAATGTAGAATTCTACACACTGTTCAGACATTGTGATTTAGATAGAATGAGTTAAGGTCTAAGAATCTGTAATGCGCACCTGCAGGGCTGCTGCCCTTATGCCATAGGATTTTGTCCTGTGAAATAGAAAAAGGTGGCCTTTCTCACAGACATGGCTTAGTGAGCATGTAGCTGCTCCGGTGAGAATTCGAAAAACAGTCTATCTTTCTCCAGGGTGGTGAAGCCCATGCTAGGCCCTCCCGCATTCCCAGGAGCACATTTCAAACTAGCTCCTCTCTCTTCAGGTGCAGGCATGTGAAGTATCCTGGGCACTTCACTAGATTCTAATGCCAGTGGCCCTGCAGAGCACACTTTGTAACCCACGGCCAGTGGCGTTATTTTTCTTCTGTTACTAATAACTACAGATCCAATTTAATTCAGCAAATATTTTATTGAGTGCCGGGATGTGTAAAAGTCTTGTGCTGGATTTGGTAAGGGCTAAGGAGATGCCTGAGGTTTCCTTTCTGTGGCCAGCAGTTCTACCCATTGCGGGGTGACCACACAGCTGTTTTGTTCTATACCATCTTTAACCCCACAGGAGCAGACAGAGTGATAAAAAAATTGGCAGGGGCCACCTTGGAAAATGCAGGAAAAGTAGAGGCAGGAGGAAGTGAAATGGGAATCTTGGTGGGCGAGCTTGGGAGAATGAGACTAGAATACCTTTCTTTAGGAAGTTCTTTCTGTGGAATGGTCTCAATGTCAGGAAATCTTGCAGTATTTGGTTCATATTTTAAACATCTTAATTTTAGCTATTAGTTAAGAATCAATCTTGTATTTGTCTCTCCTTTCTATGAGCACCTCACTCCTGAGGACAGCCCACTATCTTATTAAAATACATTAATATTAATATAATACATGATATTAATTACAGTAATATTAATACATATTATTAATATTGATTAATCCAGACACGATATATTATTGAGATTTTTCTCTTCTTCCTACTGTTTATTGATGTTAAATTTCATTTTTTTTGCTTTGATTGAAACATTTCCATTTCATAATCTCTCCATCTCTCTTTATACGTATTAATGAAGCACCAGAATTTAATTTTGAAGCATTCTAGTCTGTTTTTCTTACTTTCATAGTGAGAATTCAAGGATTCTTATAACTCATTAGCTAAATCTACAAAATTCCATATCTTGTTTCTAAATATTTTAAATGGATAAAATAGAATATTTGTAAAGCAGAAAGAAAGTAGACCAGCATAAGTCAACATGCATACATATTGAAATAAAGAGTGAAATTAATGATCATGTTACTAAATACAATATATATAATACGTGTTTGCTGCAGACAGCAGCAGTTGATGAGGATTCAAGGCTGGGATCTTATACTACTTTGAAAAGCCTGGCATTTGGCAAAATTGTTGAATTTGACTAAATGTATAAATTTAAAGCAATTAGATAAGAAACCCTTAGTCTTTTAGCTGAAACTCAAAATATAACATGCCAAGAAAAAACAAGAAGATCAAATAACTTTTAAAGAAAGCTTTTTTTTTTTTCAATGCTAAGTTTTTAAAAGAAGTTCTTACTTGTACTTACAATTAGTAAATAAGGTTCAGAGGAGGAAATGTCTTGTGTCCTGGGAGAGAATCTCACCACAAATGAAAACTGCTGAAAGGGGAGAGGCAACTGTGTTTCTATCGCAGTGCATAGTACAAAGAACAGTTTCAGACGCTCTCATTGGCCAGCGTAATCCAGCAGAAGTGGTTTCAATGTGTGTTTCTCTTATCTGGAGAATGAATATATCTCTTGCCAAATAAGGTGTGTTCCTTTTCCTATATTGTGTTAGGTACACTGATCTGTCTTTTCGGTGGGGAAAGAATTTAATTCATTATATAGTTTGATTGGTTTTACATGTCTGGCAGAGCTTACTGTTTTTGTGTGTGTGTGTTTGTTTTTTGTTATCTTTGTGGGGAAAAAAGATCATTATTGTTTCAGATTATATAGTAGTTGGCATCTCAAGTACCCTTTAATGGTATGAGCTTACAGATACTGAATATTAAAATAGGCCAAGCATTTCAATGATTCGTTGATGACTTTGATAGGCCTTGTTTTTCCAATTTTAGAAGTGAGGAAACAAGCTCAGATCCTTGAGTTGATTTTCAGAGGCCACACAGCTAACAAGTTACTCACTTAGGATTTTAGCTTATGTCAGCTCAGCTCCAAACTATGGCTCTTTTTAGAACGTTACTTCCAATGTCTTTGTACCTTTTTAATTAGTCTTCTTCTTATTGGTGGTATTACTATTTGTTTCTTTTGAAATTTTTGTTCATAGTCTTTGAATTTCTGATTCCATTGTTTAAATTGTCAAAAGACAAAATTACAACAAATTTAGTTTAGAAGATGTAATTGCCTTTAATTTGCAATTCTAGAATCAAGCAACACATCATTCTATAAAATAGAATGAATGTTCTGGTGAGCTAAGCAGAGAAGTTTGACTTTATAAACAGAAAAGGGCTGAAGAAAGCAGAAACAGAGAAAACAAGCTAGATGGGTTGTTTCAAAGTTACTTTCCTTATAAGACTAAAACAGAGAGGACTTCCTTACAACACTGACTCAGGTTGACTGCAATCTCCTGTTTTTCTGAAAACTGGCCCATTTCAAAGTTCAGTTTGATTATATGTCACTTAGCACAAGTGACTCCATTCTGGTTTGGTCTGATCTTCTGGGGCCTAAAGCAGGAGGCTAGTCCATAACAATGGCCTCTCATAAACTTTGTTTAACAAAACCTTTCAGAAATGAGAGTTGGCTGGCACAGTGGGAGTCCCAGGCGGAGGACTGCTTAAGGTCAGAGTTCAAGACAAGCCTGGGCAACACAGTGAGACCCTGTCTCTGAGAAAAAAAAAAAAATTAAAAAATTAGCCAGACATGATGGTAGGTGCCCATAGGCCTGTAGTCCCTGCTACTTGGAAGGTTGAGGCAGGAGGATTGCCTGAGCCCAAGAATTTGAGGTTACAGTGAGCTATGTTGTGTCACCACACTCCAGCCTGAGTGACAGCAAGACCATGTCTCTAAAAAAAAAAAAAAAAAAAAAAAAAAAAAAAAAAAAAAAAAATTAAGAAATGAGAGTGGCCAGCTTTCCTATCATTCACTCTGAAGTTTTTCCCTGTCATTCACTCTAAAGTTCTTGGGGATGGGAAATCTTTCCCACTAGAACAAGGCTATTGTGTGGGGTTGTACAGTGAGAATATGTGGCATTATGGCAGACTCTTAAGTGCTTAGAGTCCCTTTTCAGTCCCAATTCCTAGCTGCCATCTGCTAGCCACTTAACATTTCTACGCCTCAGGTTCCTTGTCAAATGAGGGTAATAATTGCACCTACCCCACAGAATTGCAGGGAAAATTCAAAAAATTAATACATGCAAAACATTTAAAACAGTACCTAACACCTAATCAATGTTAGGGAAAACAAAGAAACAAAGAAATCTAAAGAAGGACAAAGAAAAAGAGAAATGTGGAATTCCAGATAGCCTATTTTCTTCCGAATACTATGTATAAACTCCACAATAAAAAGATGGCAACATGGTCAGGTGTAGTAACTCACATCTGTAATCCCAGCACTTTGGGAGGCCAAGGCAGGAGGATCACTTGAGCCCAGGAGTTTGAGACCAGCCTGTGCAACATAGTGAGATCTCATTTTTTAAAATAAAAAATTAAAAAATTGAAAAATCAAAAAGATGGCAACAAATGTATACTAAATAGTTATTTATTGTATTAAAGGGAGAAAGTACATTTTAAAAATCAGTAAGCTTGGCCGGGCGCAGTAGCTCATGGCCTGTAATTCCAGCACTTTGGGAAGACGAGGCAGGCAGATCACCTGAAGTCAGGAGTTCGACACCAGCCTGACCAACATGGAGAAACCTCGTCTCTACTAAAAATACAAAATTAGCTTGGCGTGGTGGCGCATGCCTGTAATCCCAGCTACTCAGGAGGCTGAGGCAGGAGAATGACTTGAACCCGGGAGGTGCAGGTTGTGGTGAGCCGAGATCGCGCCATTGCACTCCAGCCTAGGCAACAAGAGCCAAACTCCGTCTCCAAAAAAATAAAAAGTATGGCCGGGCGCGGTGGCTCATGCCTGTAATCCCAGCACTTTGGGAGGCTGAGGCAGGCGGATCACCTGAGGTTCGGAGTTCGAGACCAGCCTGACTAACATGGAGAAACCCTGTCTCTACTAAAAATACAAAATTATCCACGCGTGGTGGCAAATGCCTGTAATCCCAGCTACTAAGGAGGCTGAGGCAGGAGAATTGCTTGAACCCGGTAGACAGAGGTTGTGGGGAGCCTAGATCGCGCCATTGCATTCCAGCGTGGGGAACAGAGCGAGACTCTTGTCTCAAAATAAATAAATAAATAAAAATAAAAATTAAAAAAAAAAAAAAGAAAATTTGTGAAGCCACACCAGCAGAAAGAAATGAGGACAGAATACAATGTAATAGGAATTAACTACTGGTAAGATTCCCTGTGGGTTGGGAAAGTTAATGATTTTTTTCTGTATGAAGCAAACTTTGAAGGATAGGTTTCAAACTGGTGATGATGCAGAGGTGGAATAGAATGAGCCAAGATTAAGAGGCAGGACTCAGCAGAAGAGACAGGTAACTACTTTGCTGACCCAAAATCTTGACTTATGAAGATAATGGGATAGACTTGAAATAGGGACCATTCCAGAAAAACTGGCCACTTTACATATCTTGAATATGTAAATATTAAAATTAGGACCTCAAGGTTAACATGTCTCCATTGAAACCTTCAGTTCTCATCCTCTGTCACACACACCTCCTAACCTTCTCCACCTCAGTAATTGGCACCACAGTCTACTCATTGATTAAGCCAAAAGCCTAAAAGTCATCCCTCACTTCCCAACCATTCAACTGACTAGAGCTGTTGGTTTTACCTCTGACATGTGTAACTAATCCATCTGCTTTTCTCCGTCTCCACTGTCATCCTCTGTAACTCTCATCTGGACTGTTGCAAAAGCTTCCTTGTTTGTCTCCCTGCCTTCATTCCTGCCCTCCAACATAGCAGCCAGGATCATCTTTCAAAGATGTAAATCAAATTTTGTAACTCCGACAAAACCACTCCAATTTCTTCCCCTTGCACTTGGAATAAAATCCAATTTCCATCATGGTCATTCTCCATTTGCACTGGCCTTCCTTCTGTTCCCGAAACAAAGCTCACTCTTCCTTAGAACCTTGCACCTGTGGTTTCCTCTGTCTAGAATGTTCTTATCTGTCTTATCTGAACTCTTGTTCGGGCCTCGACATCTTTCCTTCAGTCCTACTTGAAGTAGGTCCTTGTTACCCTTCATCACATAACTCTGGCTTTTTTTTTTTTTTAGGCCAGGGGCACTACTTAACTTTATTCTGTCACCTAGGCTGGAGTGCAGTGGTGCCATCATAGCTCTCTGCAGCTTCAACCTCCCAGGCTCAAGTGATCCTCCCACTTCAGCCTCCCGAGTAAGTGGGACCACACCACCATGCCTGGCTAATTTTTTTTTTTTTTTTTTTTTAGATGGAGTCTGGCTCTGTTGCCCAGGCTGGAGTGCAGTGGCCGGATCTCAGCTCACTGCAAGCTCCGCCTCCCAGGTTTATGCCATTCTCCTGCCTCAGCCTCCCAAGTAGCTGGGACTACAGGCGCCCGCCACCTCGCCCGGCTATTTTTTTGTATTTTTTAGTAGAGACGGGGTTTCACCGTGTTCGCCAGGATGGTCTCGATCTCCTGACCTGGTGATCCGCCCGTCTCGGCCTCCCAAAGTGCTAGGATTACAGGCTTGAGCCACCGTGCCCGGCAATGCCTGGCTAATTTTTAAATTTATTTTAGAGATTGGAGTATCCCTATGTTGCCCGGGCTGGTCTTGAACTCCTGGGCTCAAGAGATTCCCCTGGTTTGGCCTATCAAAGTGCTGAGATTAAGCCAGCACTTTAAGAGGATGTAATCCCAGCGATTTGGGAGGCTCAAGCAGGGGGATCATTTTCCATCCCTTTCCCTTTCCTTCTTCCTTTTTGATTTTTTTGACAGATTCTCACTCTGTTGCCTGGGCTGGAGTGCAGTGGTGCAATCTTGGCTCACTGCAACCTCTGCCTCCTGGGTTCAAGTGATTCTCCTTCCTCAGCCTTCTGAGTAGCTGGACTATAGGCATGTGCCACCATGCCTGGCTAATTTTTTTTGGTATTTTTTGATAGAGACAGGCCTTCACCATGTTGGCGAGGCTGACCTCGAACTCCAGACCTGAAGTGGTCCACGCGCCTTGGCCTCCCAAAGTGCTGGGATTACAGGCATGAGCCACTATGCCTGGCACTATTTTCTTATTCATTTTATTTCTCTTCCACTTAGTAGATACTTCATATAATTTGCAAGGAAGATCTAACATGTATTGCTAAGATTCACTTACATCCTTGCATGTAGTTATAGACCATTTTGTGCATTCTTTCTTGTTTTTCTTTTGGAGACAGGGTCTCAGTCTATCACTCAGGCTGGGGTGCAGTGGTGCACCATGACTCACTGCAGCCACGACCTCCTGGGCTCAAGTGATCCTCCCACCTCAGCCTCTCGAGTAGCTGGGATTACAGGAATGCACCCCCATGCCCAGCTAATTTTTGTATTTTTTTTTTTTTTTTATATAGAGACAGCTTTCTCCATGTTGCCCAGGCTGGTGTGCATTCTTTGCTCCAGCCAGGAG